TAGGTGGGCAAGGAGCAAAAAGTGTCCTTTATGTCCCTCTGATCAAATTATTATGGGCCTCAAAGTATGTCTGTTAAATATCCAAGATTTATTTATTTTTATTTTATGTGTATGAATGTTTTGCAGGCATGTATGTAAGTGCACCTATGTGATGCAATGTACTCAGAGGCCAGAAGAGGGCAGTGGATCCCCTGAACCTACAGTTATGGGCGGGTCTTACACCCCATGTGGGTGCTGGGAAGGGAATTTGTGTCCTCTGAAAAGCTCTTAACAGTTGAGTCATCTGTCCAGCCCCCTGAGGCTGATCTTATAAAACAAGAAGAATTGCCTTGACAGAAGTGAAGGCAATGGGAAGCTGAGGCGGGGAACTGCTGAGAGTTTGAGACCAGCCAGATTACATAAAAAGGCTCTATCTCAAAAGAGACAGAGAGAGAGAGAGAGAGAGAGAGAGAGAGAGCGCCCTGGCATGGTGGCACATGTCTATAATCCCAGCATTTGGGAGGTGGAGGCAAGAGGACCAGGAGATCGAGGCCAGCCTGGGTGATATGAGACTCTAATTTTAAAAAACCAAAAATTAAAAAATAAGAGAGAAGGAGCCTGGTCTAGGCAGAGGAGGACAAGGTAGCTTCTGCTAGGTCACGGTTAGCCATTTGGCTGGAATTTGGTGCTCGTGTGAGTGATTTGCAGTAGAGAAACCTGGCTTGAATGCCAGTCCCTCTGTGCCAGAACAAAGGCTACGGAGTCACTCAGACTTGCTCTGCACTTCCTGCTGGGTGACCTTGGGCAAGTGGTTTAACTTCTCTGCAAGCTGAAGGTATCAATGACTCTTAGTTTCTAAGACCATTGAGAGAATTAAGAGTAAACATATAAAGTATGTGGTACAGTGTCTAATACATAGTAAATGTTCAAAAATGGGTTAAAATGCATATGCTGTGAGAAAGAAACACTCAAGATATTTAGAGCTGGTCCCAAATATTTGAACATAAAGGAAAAAAAGCCTGTGTATGCCACTGTCCATGGCTGGTGCCCGTGGAGACCCGTGGAGTGAGTGGGGTTAGCCTCAAGTCCCCACCTACCCTGATCTGGACTGTTGGAATAGTCTTCTGGCTTCCTGCCTCTAGCCCTCTGAAAATCATCTTCCAAACAACTTTAATCATGGCTATGTCTGTCCCTCCCTGACTCAAAAGCCTTCTATGGCTCCCTTTTGCTTGCAGATGGGCTTCCTTAACCTAGTAGGGGAGAGAAGTCAAGAACTACCATTCCAACCTGGGTATGGTGATTGATGCAGCCCGGTATTCCCAGCACTTGGAAAGTATTTACTTGGAGGCTCAAGAATCCAATGTCACTGTTTGATACATACTGAGTTCCAGGCCAGCCTAGGCTACATAAGACCCTGTCTCCCAAAACAGAGAATTACCACCTCTTAGGAAGCAGAGGCAAGGAGAATCACCTGGAGTTCAAGGCCAGCCTGGGTTACATAGTAAGGTCCAAGCCAGTCAGAGCTTGAGTCAGACCGTGCCTACAGTCAAAAAAATCAAACAAGCAACAACAGAATGATGAAAGGGAAGACAAAAAAGTCACAGGAATAAAAAGATAACAGGCAAGGTTTGTTTTTTGGTTTGTTTTTGTCTTTTTTGAGACAGGGTCTCCCTGTAGCCCTAGCTGTCCTGAAACTCACTAGGTAGACCAAGGGGGCCTCCCAAGTGCTGGGATTAAAGGCATGCGCCACCACACCCGGCAATAGTTTTTAAAAGCCCAGAAGCTATGAGTTTACAAGAAATCAGCAAGTCTCCTTGGGAGGTATCAGGGATAAATCTCTTAAGAGATCAGTGCCTTTCTGTAGCCGCTGGCTGAGATTCACCAGTAGCTAGCTAGCTACTTCTTCAAACCAACCCAGAAACATTCTGAGGGAGGAAGGCGGAGAGCCAGGCAGAGGCGGCTGGGCTCAGGGAAATACCTCTTGAATTCCCAACAGCAAACCCTAGGTCCTTTGAGAAGGGTCAAGGTCACACAAAAGGCAAAGCAGAGGAGCCCGAGTCACAGGGAAAGGCCTAACAATTGCCTCCCTGAAAGCGTTTAGGATGAAGGCACCGGGACAAAGTGCGGAAGATTCCTGAGAGATTAGAGGGCAAGAAAGGGGGTAGGGAGGGAACGCTCTGAAGCCTCAAGGATCACTGTCTTGGAAGTTATGACTGGAAGCCAACTTGAGCCTGGAGGGAAGAGGCGCCCTAGGGCCTCTTCCCCGCAGCAGCTGTTAGGATGCTGAGACCCACGCCACAGGCACGGGTCCCACGCCCTCCCTGGGTTGCCCAGCAGGTGCGGAAGGCCGAGCTCACCTGGCCGTTTGGGATAGTTCTCGGTAGGCGCCCGGAGGTTGCCGCCTTCGCAGTGGTACCCCGAGCGCGAGAGCCGTGCTGGTCGAGGGGGCGCGGCCGGACCCTCCAGTCCTCCACGCCCCCCCTCGACGCCCACGCGGGGCCCTCCCCCAGCTTGCTCCCTCCCACCAGCCCTTCTCCTCCCCTCTTTCACTCCCTCCCTCCGAGCCCAGTTGCTCAAGCCGCTTCCTTCCCCACCGCCAGCACCAGTTCCTCTCCCTGTGGGGCCCTTGGAAGGCCAATGAACGCTAGGCACCGGAGTCAACCGGGCGGCAGCTGGAAGACCATGGCCGAGCCGCAAGGAGCCGCGAACCAGGTGCCCCGCGCCGCCGTCCCGCCAACCCTGCTGAACGCACCGAGCGCCCTGCAGATCCGGCCCTGGAGAACCGACATCGGTAGCCTGGGCAGGTACAGGGGCCACACCGTCGCGGCTACAGCCACCCTCTCCCGGGAGCCGTTGTTCCATAGCTCGCTGTCGCTGGCCGGGGCTAGCACTGCGCGCCGGCGGGAGGCGCTGCGGGAGCTACTGGGGCTGCAGGGGGCCGTTCCCGCTGGGTGGCGGTCGGACGAGCGCTTGGAGCAATCTGAGGCTGGGCCCCGCCGCGCGAGCTCTCAGGGTGGCAGTCGAATGTGCCTGGAGCCGCGGGAGCACGCGTGGATGCTGGCGGCCGCCGAGGGCCGTTATGAGGAGTTGTTGGAGATGCTGGAGGCTGAGCCCGGGTTGCTGATGCGGGCCGACCCGATCACCGGCTACAACGCCCTGCACTGGCTGGCCAAGCACGGGCGCCACGAGGAGCTCATTCTGTTGCATGACTTCGCCAGGCGCCGCGGACTCCCATTTGACGTGAGCGCCCCGGGCAGCGGCGGCCTGACGCCGCTCCACTTGGCGGCTCTACAGGGCCACGACATGGTCATTAAGGTGCTGGCAGGAGCCCTGGGGGCTGACCCCACACGTCGAGATCACAGTGGTCACCGACCTTGTTACTACTTGCGGCCCAATGCCTCCCAGAGCTTACGGGAGCTGTCCGGCGCAGAACAATGGGAGATAGAACGCGACAGCAAGCACGACAATGCCAACGACAACAGCACCAACCCCTCCTCCGCAGGGCGGTTGCTGAGAAGCACCCCAAGTGTAGCGCGCATCAGGTCCACTGGGACACACTGCAAAGAGGCCAAAGAGGCGGCTCTACCAGCCAAAGAGAAGAATGGGTCAGGCAGTCAGACTAGCAATGGCCGTCTGCGCCATCTGTTCCCCTTCATCCAGGACCGTTGAGGGGTGACATGCACTACAGCGTTCAAGGGGGCCTCGACACGGAGACGAGGCGTCATTCTTAGCTGTTCCTGGTCCCACTGAAGGAGGTACCCCTCCGATGTAGCTTGGGCCTGCATGGCATAGACCCTGTCCTAGGTCTCTTGCAGCTAGCTAGTATCTAGAGAGTATGAGAGACAGCCAAGAACCAGGATGGTCCTGGTGTCTAGTCCCAAAGGTACAGGGCTAAGGTGTTTGGAGCAGGGAACATGGTCCTCCTTGGAAGAGAGAAAGTTAAGCTTCTAGTGACCGTTTCTGGGTAGGCTGAAGCAATCGGTTTATTAGAAAACACTAAAAGAATAAGACCATAAACTACTGATGCAGAGCAAGTGCCTAATAACTGTCTGCCTGGGTCTGCTTTTAACAAGTCTCCCTGTGCTGGTAGAGTTTAGCCCTTGACAACCTGCTCCCAAGACTAGCCAGACATTACCAGTGGCCTGGCCTAATGTCAAATGGATTAGTTCTTAAGTATATTAAAATGGATTTTTTTCTTTTTGCACAACAAAGCTGTCTTTGGGTATATTCTTTTCTTATTAACCACAGGGGGTAGCTACATATGTTTGCAGGGAAGAGGATGTCAATCCATGGCTACAAGCTACTGATCCATGGCAGGTTCTGGGCCTCATTCTCAGAGCAAATGGCCAGAAGCTGTGCACCTAGGGAGTGACCTTCACCTTGACTCTGAGTAGAAACATACAGTTCTGCTGCCTCCTCAGTTCTGGCCTCAAGTACAAGTATTATAGAGAATATTCTGGAGGGAGGCCTAGGGGTAGTGAAAAGGGAAAATCACCAGATTTGCATTTCTGATGTTCTGTACTGAATCATGTAATTGACTTGTGTTATCCAGCTAGACAACCCTCATCCCCACTTTATATTGAGATGGGATTTTTTTTCTCATCCACTTTTTTGGTTTCTTTTTTAGAAGCCCAAAATCCTGGCTGACCTGGAACTTGCTGTGTAGACCAGGCTTGGTCTCAAATTTTCATCCATATGCCTGCCTCTGCATCTAAAGTGCTAAGATTAAAGGCATGCATCGATCATCATGCCCCGCTCCATCCACATTTTTTTGTCTTTTAAAAAAAAATTTTTGGTCTTTTTAAAATCTTTTTTGAAACAGGGTCTCCCTGCAGTCCCAGCTGTCCTGGAGCTCACTATGTAGACCAGGCTGGCCTCGAACTCAGATTTGCCTGCTTCTGCCTCCCAAGTGCTGGATTAAAGGTGTACACCACCATACCTGGCCATTCACATTTTTTTAAAAGATAAGTTTAATATGAAAGTTGTAGTTTGGAAAAATTTCTCCCATTCAGAAATGAATGAATTAAACAGAATAGGGGGAGGGTTGACTAGCTGAAAGGAGGGGAAAGCAACTTGTGACTAGAGAACCACACTGCTTTGGAGAATAGTGCATTTAAAAACTTTTATATTTGTTCAGAATGTGTGGGGGTATATGTGTGTGAGCACACTTTCCATGGTGGATGTATGGAGGTCAGAAGACAACTTGCAGGAATCAGTTCTTTCCACCTGGGGATTGAACTCCAGTCATCAGGCTTGGCAACAAGTGATTTTACCTGTTGAGACAAATCATTGGCCCAGGGATCAGTGAGTTGCATTTTTTTAAAGAGTACTAGATCTCTATGGCTTGTGTAGCCCTATCTAATAGATGTTGTGTTCCTGGCCCTCTCAGCCCAGTCCTTCAACACCAGGGAGAAACTGAGTCATTACGAAACAGCTCAGAAATTCCTGATCCCATACATCCAGGCCTCCACACCTCTACCGGGTGGGCCTGTTTGCCTGTTGTGTGTTGGGAACTTTTCTACCTCCCCATAATAACCCATTACTTTTTTTATCTGTGAAATAATCCAAACCTTTCTTATTGTTGTTTCAAGCTGGGCTGTGTCTCTAGGAACTACACCTTAAACATACTGACACAGTATAATCTGGTGTTTCCTTTTGCTTATAAATAACCTTTTCTTTGATGGTCGAATGGGGAGGGTGAGCAGTTTTCAGGTCCCAGAATTTGCTACTAGCATCTGGCCTCAGCCCTTCTACCTGTGTGCCCATTTTCTAGATGCAAACTGGCTAATATGGAATTGGTTTCTGCTCCACACCTCCCCCTTGCCAACTGCCAAGATGGGTTGGGCTCTGTGGACCCTAGCTGGCAGGGTCTTCCTGCCACATGGTTGAATCTTTGGGCTCCTGGCCTGGAAGGGAAGACTGATGTGTGCTGAACATTCAGAGGACATCTATAGCAGTGGTTTCCTCATTATAGGAAAAGTATGAAGCTTAACTATGAGCAGATTTGAAGACCCAAGACAAGCATCCATCCTGTCTAAGAAGAAAAAGGCCAGGCATGGTGGTGCTCACCTTTAAGCCCTGCTCTGGGGAGGCAGAGGCAGGGGGATCTCTAGGATGGTCTACCTAGGGAGTTCTAGGTCAGCTGGGGCTATGTAGTGAGACCCTGTCTCAAAAACAAACAGAAAACAAAGTCAGCTAGAGGATTTGATAGCAGCTTTCCATAGCTTATTCTGTAGTCAGCTATTCAGCTGCTATTGTTATTATTATTGTTATTATTATTATTATTATTGGTCTTTTTGAGACAGGATCTCCGGATCTCCTTCTAGCCACAGCTGGCCTGGAACTCACTAAGGAGACCAGACTGGACTCAGTCTTACAGTGATCCACCCACCTCTGCCTCCCGGAGTGCTGGGATTAAAGGCTCAGCTGTTTTTTTCTCACAGATTTTTCTCACTGTGGGATATGGACTAGCTGGCCTCCTTCATGTAAAAGTGAGGTTTGGCTGCAGGGGACAAACTTGCATGCTGAAAATGCTCAGAGCCTAGCATCAAGCCATTGGCATTTCTGGTATGCTTTCAGAGGCAAGACTGGTATGCTCAACCCAAGAGAAAGAGTAAATACCCCAAGACACCTCTCTTCAGAAGAACTGAGTCAGGCAGATGATGCAAAATTGAATTCTAGTGCTGAACAAAGGCAGGCAAAGCAGACCATTAGAAGCAGGGCTGGTAAGAGGGTTTGGAGGAGGGGTGTTGAGGAAGAAAGGAGGGAGGACCTGACCTGGCACCCCTGGGCAGGAAAGGTTTTCCAGGGAGGAAGCTAAAGGTGCGGGGGATGAGTGGGAACTAGCCAGTGAATGTAGCAAGTGCCAGGAACTGCCAGTCAGCCCATTTGGCAGGAGCTGGGGAGTGACTAATGATAAGACTAAAAAAAGATGGGAGTCCAGATCACAAAGGGCCCCTTGGCTGTGTTCAAAGGCGCATCAGTTTTAGGAGAGTACCGAAAGGTACTTGGGAGTCACGGAAGGTCTCTAAGCAGAGAAGTGACACAATGAGATTTGGGGAAATCACTCTAGTGGTCACATGGAGGATGGTGTGCTAGGGGACAAGAGAGGAGAAAGGTAATGCTTCGGCTGGGCTGTGAGAGTGTCCTATGAGAGCAATGCCATGAAACTTTTCTTCCCCCTCTAATGAAGCTTACCTAGAAACCCCGTGCAAACCTGGCCATGTGGAGCTGGCTCGAGGTCTCCCCGTCCCACCTCCTCCTTTTATTCTATATGACAGACGGATAGGAGCAAAATTCAAACCCACTGGTGTAATTGAAAAGTGTCCAGCCCACCCTGAGTTCAAATCCTGGCTTCTGACTAGTGCCCTTGAGCAGAGTGCCCACATCTCTGAATTGCAGTTTCCTCATCAGTAAAATGGGAGCAAAACATGTCTCTGGAAGAATTGCTCAGAGGACACCAGATCCTCTACCCCACAACATGTAGCACACCAGGTGACGCACAGGGAATAGAAAATGCCAGCTGTTCGAAGCAACTGAAAAGGGGTCAGCAGGGCTTGCAGTGAAACCATGTTATCTGCTAGGGTCGTTCAGGAGGGATCTTGTGGTTGAAGTACATTAGCCCAGTTTTAAAATGGATTCATCTAGAACTTGCACTGAGGAATATCTGGGGACACTAACTTGACATGATAGGTCTTAACACAAATAACAGAATGTATTAATTCAAGTGTGGGGCTATGGGGGGGCAAGGGGAAGAGGGTACAAAGATGATTAAGATGTTCAATAAAAAATTCAAAAAAATTATAAATAAATAAATAAATAAAATGGGTTCATCTAGCCAGGCATGGAAGCACACACTTTTTTTTTTTTTTGGTCTTTTTGAACCAGGGTTCCCCCGAAGCCCCAGCTGTCCTGGA